CAAGAGAAACCTTGGAAATCAATATTATTAGATTTCATTACAGATTTGCCAAAATCAGATGATCACAATGCCATACTTGTAGTAGTGGATCGTCTTACCAAAATGAGTCACTTCTTAGTATGCAGAATGGATATGATGGCACAGCAGTTCGCTATGCTATTTCTAAAAGAAATTTACCGACTGCAGAGATTACCAGAAGACATTATCAGCGACAGAGGATCATTATTCACATCGGAAGTATGGAAGGAAATCACAGAAAAATGAGGAATCGAACGACGTTTGAGTACGGCCTTCCACCTGCAAACACATAGACAGATGGAATGGACTAATGGTATATTGGAACTATACCTACGAGCATACGTCAATTACCAACAAGATGACTGGTGTGAATGGCTACCAACAGCAGAGTTTGCATACAACAACAGAAAACAAGAAACAATTAACATGACACCCTTCTATGCGAACTATGGCCTGCATCCAGAATACGAGACTATCAGTCATATGTTCAAAGGAAAGATAACGGACAAGAAAGATGTGTGCCAACTTCATGACATATTACGAACAGAAATAGTCACAGCACAACTACGACAAAAAGAAGAGCACAATCGTCACCGAAAGCCCGATCCAAAGCTGGAATCAGGAGATATGGAGTGGTTACTACGGCATAATATCAGAACCACACCAGCTACGAAAAAATTGGATTATAAGAAAATAGGACCATTCAAAATACTGGCAAGGATAGGAAGCTGCGCTTATAAACTTGACCTTCCACCCTCCATGAAAATATACAACACCTTCCACATTAGCCTCCTGGAACCCTACCAAGACAATCCTCTACCTTCACAAACAAAAACACCACCACCGCCTATCGAAATAAATGGTGAATCAGAATATGAACTCGAAGACATAATCAACGCCCCAGTACACTATGGTCGCCTGCAAGACAGAGCAAAGTGGACAGGATACTCACCAGAACACGATAAGACTTAGTACCCAGCCAAGAACTTCGATAATGCTCAAAATGCAGTGTAACAATTCCACCGAAAATACAGCCGCAAGCCAACAGCCGACAGTGGAAGACATACCCGAATCAGGCCGTGCAACGCCTACCTTATACACAACAGATTCCTACAAATGGGAATACCTCAAGGGCAGAAGTGCAATACCGATGCTATCAACCCTCCAGAACGTCCCCGAATGCGACGCATTCAAACATATTACTCCAACCAGCCCGGGGTATCATGCCCCAACACCAATCAAGGAAGAATGGAATAACGAAGAATGGACCAACCTAGCGGACCTCAATTTGAGGAAGAAAACGACCCCAGAAAGGGAACACAGGAACCTGTAATGGACAGGTTGCTACCACAACGAGTGCCAAGTGCACTATATATGAAAAGGAGGGCTCGGGATATTAGCCTCGGGAGATCCACCCATAGCCACCCAAGACCTCACCCCTGAGATCACCAACAAGATCCCCGACCCCAGAGCCAGTGGGTCTGGTACAATACCTCCAACCGACTCCAAGAACGAAGTCGAAGAGGAGGGGGGCGAAAAAACAGAAATGGGCAAGACCCAGGAAGACACGACATGTCTCCTGGGAAGAAGAGATGGAGAAAGAGAAACCAGAAGCAACAGTAATGAAATTGTAGGCAGAGGTGGCAGAAAGGAAGAAAGTAATGGAATGGCAAGCGGGAAAAATAGGACAACTTCAGAGCGAGCTGAGGGAGGAAACGAGGATAAGGAAGGCACTCCAGAACGACTGGAGGAGAGACGAGAAGGAGGCAGAAAGGGCCCTGACGAGAGTACGGAAAACAAGCGCTTGGCTAAACAAGGAAACCAAGTGGGTATTAGCGGCAGACAGGGCCTGGGGATTGTAGGAAAGATTGATGTAAGCCCGATGGGACTCGGGCTGAGGGAGAGGGGAGCTAATGTCACAAACTGTGACTAAGCAAGGCAGATTTTACATAGCTCGGAATTCCGAGCTATAGGTATGTGTGAATTGTACATGATGCACACTAGTGCGCCATAGGTTATGATGTTTACCTATTCGTGACTCACAGTTGTGAGTCACACGATATTATGATTTTCGCACATGACTCAACTTGTGAGTCATGGGTTTCACTCAGGTAACCCGAGTTGCTCACCTGACTTGGTTATTATGTTTTGATTGGTTTTAGGAATATTGCACAGTGACTCATAGGAGTCAGCTGAGGGATTTCACGTAACTCATAGATATGAGTCACAGAGTTCGCGTGACGCAAGGTATGGGTTATGCCAGGTGAAGAACTACTATATAAGGGATTGCTAGGACCTCGAGTATTAGTTCTTCACAAGTTCTTCTTGTTTATTTCCTATCTTTAAGGTATTACAATAAAATCTACCTTTACGCTCTTTAAGACTTATCTTAAGAAAACCGAGAACTATCTTTCCTCCCAAGCGAGAAAATTATTTCTCCTCTCACATTGAATGACTAAGTCCTAAAGTAAGGACTTAGGAAGATCTGAGGAATAGGTGCGACAAGATAGAAGTCGACAGGACTTAGCTATCGACATCAGGTAGGCATCGGCCTAAGAGCTATTACCTCAAAACGCATTAAGAATCGTTAGCTGTCGCATCCCCATGCCCAGTAGGATTCTTGATACTAATATACTCAATAGATTAAAATCGCCGGCCAATGTGACACCATACGATAGCAAATAGAGTATATAGAGCACATATTGAGACCAAATTGTAATCAGGTACGGTTATCGAAAGTGCCAGATCACATGAAGTACGTTCCAATTACTGCAAGAAAATCCTGACGACGTCAATTGAAAGTGTGAAATCAGAATGGAAGAGGTGGGTAATATAGTACTCAGGGCACATGGGAGTAGTTCTTTGAAGTTATGACATACAGGAGCAGCGACTGGAACTTAAGGGGAGCAGAGTGGGTGAGTCATGCGGTAGGTGGCAAGCGATATAGATTAAGTTATGCAAACAGAACTAGCTTTATGCAGAGAGGATTGGAATGCAGGGAAGGATAGATGGGCCTCACAGCGTGAGGCAAAAGCAGCAGAGATTCTGCGGATGCAAAGCAGGCCTGACTGGATGGCTGGCATGCCGGGCAGGAGGTCCAGAGATATCGGGACAGTGGCCAGGGGTAGTAAGGGTGTCAGGACACTAGGCAGGAGTAGCAGAGGCCTCGGGATGCTAGGGCGAAAGGGTATGGATCGTCAGCATGCCCGGAACTGAGCCAGCAAGGGTCATAGCTCACGGGGGTTGGAATACTATTCATTCAGTGAGCATCAGGATGCATGAGGGTGCTGATACAAACATCAGGATACAACAATGGATTCAGCTGATGTCCTGATTAATCGTTTCGGTCCTGTGTATCCTGTGCCTCTGATGCACAGCATGCACAGGATGCAAGAGTAAATTTTTGCTGATGTGATATTATACAGGATAGTATATATATTAAACACGCCTTTGTGATTTATACTTTCTACTTACAAGCTTCTCATACTCTGAAGACCTATAAATAACCTTTGATCTATAAGCCTCCATTATTCTCTGGGTCTTTGCCCAGTGTTTCCATACTTACTGAGTTGGTATACCAGCTAATCCCTCTGAAACCAACCTCTTCAAGGACTCAAAATCATACTTGCAGTTCTCTCATGTATCGTGCTTTACAGAATAAGTCAGAAGAAAGTTATAGAAAGGCATATAATCATATTCTAGTATTTTATCTATGCTATATTTTCTATTCATTTTTTCTATAAGCATCATGACATAATACTATGATATATAAAATTAAAAAATCATGTAAAAACAACAAAAGTGAACTGGATTTGAACTCTTGACCTTCAGAAACTAGAAATTTAGGTCTAAGTGATGGTACCCTGATTATATAAGGCATTACATTTTGCAATACCATTGGTACACATTGTATATGGTGTGCATCATACTTGAGAGATAGGTGTATTATACTGGTTTAAAAGAGTTGAATATTTTCAATAATATTATATATATTTCGAAAATTTGGCCAAGCCACTGATTTGTCATAACAATAAAAAGAGTGCTAGAATTTAGGTTTACTTAATTTAAACCTATTATTTCATATTTTGTTTTGATTATAGGTCTAAACCCTGAAAAATCAGAAACCATTGCCAAACATGATTATTTCTGAAAAATGCTATTTTTTTAAAACAGCTTTAAAGCCATTTTCACGAAAAATGGTATTTCTTTTTATGGTGGCATGCCAAACAGGGCCTAAGAAATAATCCTGAACACATAATAAGAAAACACATGTAAAATCCTCAACAATGTCATGAAATATTAAATAAAATATACATAATCCACACTTTTATTATGGTAATGTTTGTGGTCTTATGAGTGATTAGAAATAGTACAAAGTAGTGGAATACCGTAAAAACTCGTTCGATGCGCTTGCGCCTGAAGGCCACGAGTACCCCGGTCAATAGCGACATCAGGCTAAGATAGGTTTAGCTTTGCAACTTAAGAGAATTGCGAAACCCAGTTAACCAGATCCCTTTACCCAAATGACTCAAGCTTTACCACGTCAAGTAAGCAACAATGCTTCTTAAGAGCTTTTGCCCGGAAATCCCGAGATTAGCGACCTTAAGGCGCTAGCGAATTGAACGAGTTTTTGAGAATATATATATGAAGTCAATTAGAAATTTTCAACACATAATACTCAGTCTGGGGTGTTGATACTACAATTGAAGAAAAAAAAAGGGGGGGAGATATTTTACTATCGAGGTCTTCGCGCCAAGCTTAAAAGCGTCTGAATCCATTTTAAATGGCCAAGCCAGCCCCCCCCCTCCTTTATCCACGCACGATCTGGGCTAGCACCTTGGTATCGGTTCTTGGCACCGGATAAGTTTTTCCTATCCCAGCTACTACTTACCCGACCAGGTTTTCCCGTCCTCTGCAGTGCCCTCGATTACTGTACGAGGACGAGTACTAGTACTTGAGAAGCTTATCCCCGGAACAAGGCGGGTTTGGTTGAAAATATCTATCCTCTCGAGCTCAGAAAATAACTTCCCCAATTCAGATGCAGAGGTGGTGGCGTACGCTGTCGAAATTCATCCTTTCCCTTTTCTCCAGCTTCATTAAAGAATCGGAAATGTGCTTACTTGAATCATCCGTACCTGTTCCTATAACCCTGGCCTATTATCCTATTACAAGTACTCGTACAACATTGCATTGTGAAATGTTTCTTCTTCTCTTTGCTTTTTCCATTCGGGGCTCAATCTTGCATCCCTATTACCGTGCCGGTACTGGCTCTCTCAAATCTCGATACTCCCGTGGCACAAGACTGGGGACCCAGGGTCTCTCACCCACCCTACGAACCCTAACTTTCCGCCCCTAGATATCATAGTGCAAACCCTTATGGTGTCTCCCAGCCGTCAATCTTTGCCCTTTGAGACCCCTCTACCGTTCGTTAGTGAAGCCTTTCAAATCATCACTCTCACTTTACCAGCCCTGCTCTTCCCGGTCTCCCTCCTCCTTTCCTCTCTCCCCCCTTTCTTCAATTGTCTTGAGGCTACCGACTGAACCTGCTCTAGCGTCCCTGCCCTTCCCCCTTCCACTGGGTCCACTTCTCCCTCGCAATTCTAGCTCCCTCACGCGATTTTTTCGGGGCACCTCTGCCCACTAAAGCTTGCTAACACTCCTTCATTCCCCCCTTTCTCCTCGTTCCCGTTTACCTAGGGATATTGTCCGCCCGAGCATTGTGGATCCCGGGAAAGAATTTCCAAGGTTGTTTTTTTCCTCCCCTCCTTTGGATGCCACCTTCGTTGGGTCCCTTGCAGATCCTCGGATAAATTAGTCTTCTCCCCCGAGCCTCATTCCGTGCCAAAACCATGACCACCATCCCGCGAACTATCAAAGAGTCATTGCTCGGGATCGAGCATCAGTCTTCATCCACCGCGAAAATTAGGGAGAACTTCGAAAAGTTTGCGTCAATTACTGAGCCGACTACAGGCGAGAAACTGATGACCAGAGAGAACTTCATCGACGCGATCGCACCCCCGGATCAAGACTTCCACAAGATTAAAAGAGATCAGTATGCCATCCTGTTCGATATCGCGGATAGGCGCAGCCAAGGGGTACTCAACATGCAAGACTGGACCACTTTTGAAAGCCTTCTCGCCAAACCAGACGCAGAATATCAAATCGCGTTTAGACTTTTCGATGAGGAGGGAAGCGGCAGTGTGAAATTTGATGACTTTGTGACCTTCTATACCCGCAACAAACCGTCTGATAGCCTACCCTTCGATTGGACCAGTGAGTGGGCTGCGCTCCATCTTGGAGTCAAGGGCGGCCGGCACAATCTTTCATATCATCAGTTCTCACAGATGCTTCGCGGACTCCAAGATGAGCGTGTCAGACAGGCTTTTCGCTTTTACGACAAGAATATGTCTGGCTATATTGAGCCAAAGGATTTCCACCGGATTATTCTCGAGACTTCGAAACACAAGCTCTCCGATCATCTACTCGACAATCTCCATACGTTATCCAACATGTCGGCTGGGTCAAAAATCAGTTATGCAAACGTGCGCGCCTTCCAGAATGTTGTTCGGGAGATGGATATGATCGATCTTATCGTCCGGAATGCTGCTTCCAAATCTCTCGACGGCAAGATTACGAGGGCCGATTTTATGAACGAAGCAGCAAAGATCACTCGTTGTGATCTCTTCTCTCCTATGGAGACGGACATTCTTTTCCATTTCGCCGGTCTCAATACTACCTCCGGGAAGCTTTCTGTGACCGACTTTTCCCGTGTGCTGGACTCTTCATGGCGAGAACCAAAATTGGAAACTCTTGCGCCACCCCTTGTTTCTGTATCTCTTCCTACATTTACTTCCGTTGTGCAACCACAGGGGGTTTTTGGCCAGGCCCTGGATGCAGCATTCAATTTCGCGCTGGGATCTGTGGCCGGTGCCTTTGGGGCCACAATTGTATATCCGATCGACTTAGTGAAGACCAGAATGCAGAATCAACGCAGCAAGGTTGTCGGAGAGCTCATGTACAAAAACAGTATCGACTGCGCCAAGAAGGTTATCCGCAACGAGGGCTTCCGAGGTCTTTATAGTGGCCTAGGTCCACAACTTATTGTTAGCCAACCCGGATGCCCCATACTCCAATAGTCTCGCTCTAATGTTAGTCGTGTCAGGGTGTTGCCCCAGAAAAAGCCATCAAACTTACAGTCAATGACTTGGTGAGATCAAAAGCCAAGGGCAAAGGTGAGATCTCACTGCCCTGGGAAATCATTGCTGGAGGGTCGGCTGGGGCTTGCCAAGTTGTGTTCACCAAGTACGTTCCCACTGCTTCCCTCTGTGTCTACTGCTTCGCGGTGCTCCATACTGATAAAATACAAGCCCACTCGAAATTGTCAAGATTCGCCTGCAAGTTCAAGGAGAGGTAGCCAAAAATGTTGAGGGTGTTCCCAGGCGCTCGGCCTTGTGGATTGTCAAGAATCTTGGTCTTGTAGGATTATACAAGGGAGCGAGTGCATGTTTGCTACGCGATGTTCCCTTTTCAGCAATCTACTTCCCAACTTATTCCCATTTGAAGAAAGATTGGTTTGGGGAGAGTTTGACTAAGAAGCTTGGCATTCTACAGCTTCTCATATCCGGTGCCATAGCAGGGATGCCGGCAGCTTACCTCACCACTCCGTGTGATGTTATCAAGACCAGACTGCAGGTAGAGGCAAGGAAGGGACAAACCCACTATCGTGGGTTGATCCACTGCGCCTCCACTATCTGGCGTGAAGAAGGGCCCAAGGCATTCTACAAGGGTGGGCCGGCGAGAGTTCTTCGGAGTTCTCCGCAATTTGGATTTACCCTCGCTGCCTATGAGGTTCTCCAAACCTTCTTTCATCCGCACGGAGACACCGCCAGCGATGACGGGAAGTTCACTGGGGGCTTTCGCCCCCCGATCAAGGCACCTGGAGCAACCCCGCCACTTCCGTACCTGCGCAGTAGAAATGCTCTCAAATTAATTTTGGTTCGTCCCCCCCTCCCTGACCTCATTGGGCCCTCCCCACTTACGCTATATTCTTAGGACATCGATGAAAACATTGGCTGCCCAAAGCTTCCGCAATCAAAAGAGGTTTGGCCTTCTATACCTGGTCTTGGAAGAGCACGACAATCTTAGACGCGAGATGCAAATGAATAACCAGGTCTGGAGTTTTCCTTGATTAAAAAACAAAAACGAAGGCCCCCTTAGACGTTTAGATTAGATTTCCGATCACTGCGCTAGAGTATGCTCTAGATTTCTAGAAAAATATATGTACTAGTACCATAATTTCCTCTATCTCCATCGTTTGCATTTGTTATATTGGTACAGGAAGGAGTACTGGATCCTATAGACTGGAGGCTGGTGAATTACGAACCAGGTGTATCAGGTAAACTTGGAGCACTAGCTAAGAGGTGGGTGGTTCGTATCGCCATAATAAGAAGACAACGGTAGCTTCCGGTTCACCGACCCACTGTTTAATCCTCATGCCTGGCACTAGTCCTGTAAAATCGCATCTGGGGGGGGGGCAGGCCCACCACCTCAGGTACAAGTTTGTGTCTTTGTCTGTTATTTGCAATAGGCTTCCACCTTCTTTCCCTGAGCCTTTTCCCATGGAAACCTGCAGCACTACTGGTAGTCATGTCATCATACTACTAGTCTCATGTGATCAGCGTTTGCTAAGCTTCACTTAGTATGACTTCCTACTATGAGCAGTGATTTGTTTTCTTGGTTGGAGCCTAGTTCTTAGTTCTTAGTTCTGTCTTCCTGAATTGCAATTGCATCAGCTAACAGCCTACTATTCTACATTTAGTTCTACTCTGACCCTATCTATTAAGCTGCTACAGAAAGCATAATCAGGACCATTGGTTTTTTTTGTTTGACTAATTTTATTGTTTTGTTTTTGGGACAAAAAGGCATAGGGAGCGCTACCTATGATGCCTAAAAAAACAGTCTCCCCCAGCCCAGGCTGAATGATAGAGCTAAAGAACTCTCTGGGGTAGAAAAAACTACTCCCACCTAAAATCTCTTCTATGAACTGCTCCACCCAATAACTCCTACCATCAAGTAACAAATGAAAAGCTAACCACCTAACAGTCAACTAAGAACTTGCCACAACCCTGAGAATGAAACACCAAAAGGCAGCAATCTAAACTGAACACACTAAGGGCCAAAGGACATAACTCAACAACCAGAAACTAGCGAACCAAGACCTAAACAAGAGCCAGGGTGAGTGGGGATCAAGCCCTAGTCACAGAGGGTATAAGGGAAACCATCCCAAGGGCAGCAACAAAGAAGTAAGGAGAGATGGTGTGTGGCAGGCATGCCACTGGCAGCAACTGTATATTCTCCGGGACAAATACCTGTTATGATATGACAGTAGGGTGCCAGCTAATCTGACCAAAGAGAGGAGAAGAGGAGGGGTAGACACAAGACTATGCATAGCAGCTATTGGTAATCGTATTCGTGTCTGACTGGGCAGCCTCTTGGGGGAACAAGAGAACAGAGAAAGTGACTGAAGCCTGAAGGCTGTTCTCTCCTACTGCAAACTGTAATCCTGGCCAACTGCTGCTGGTGGTACAGGGGTTGCCAACCATGTCAAGGCTTAACCAAGGCAGGGTAGGAAGAGGAGGAACATGGCAAAGACGAAAGACCCCTACCAAGGAGAGAACCAAGAAAGTCGATAAATAAATAAGAGCCTCAAGGCAGAGGGGAGGTGAGCCTACCTCCTGTAGCGAAGGCTAGATAGAGGGAGATGGAAGGGGGGGGGGAGGATGCTGCTAGACGATAAAAGCTACTATAGTAACCATGGTATTGAGTTTTCAATCACCAGACCTGTAGTGGAGATGGAGGATGAGTATAATCAGGATAGAACATGACTAAATATATTAGGTCAGGTGTTTGACTTCAGGCCCTCCCATAGTTATTGTAATAATAAAACATTATCACATGAAACAAGAGGACATCTATACTGTGTACCCTGTGGAGATGTAAGACATGCAGCCACAGAACTTTTTCTGGATAACACAGAAGGAGCTCCACTCTATGAGCTGAGACTTAGTTAGATCAGATTGGTCCATTAGTTATACCATTATGATCGCTGCAAGTCTTTATACCATTATTCTGATCAGGATAAGATGTAACACACTGGGTTCTTATGCTTGCAGGAACAAGAGTCATCCAGAGACTGGTTCAGGATTAGTCAATAATAATAAATAAACCATCAGTTAGTTGAGTTAGTTATATTCATCATGCACTCTAAGCTACATATATGAAGAGCCATTGATGAGTACTTTAATGGAGCTAATCACTCATCCTAGGCTGAGAGCAGGGTAGTTAGTTTTCAGGGTCAAATAGAGTTCATACTCCTCAGACACTAAATCTTTATTACAGCAGGTGCATCAGTAAAAGTAAAAGCTTGTGTCTTGTCCATCCTGTGTATCTGATATACAAGATGCATAGGATACAAACTGTTAATCAGGATACAAGACAGCAGGTACTAAAACTCAGTCCCCAACCATCCTTGGTGCCAGAGCTTAGGACACAATAGTCCTTAGCAGCAGAAGTCAGGAGACAGCCTGATACTGGAGTTATTCCCAGAATACAAGCTAGTACCACTGCTGTTTGCAGGATACAATACTAGCACTAGACCTTGTGACCTAGGTCACATATGGAGATTCTCCATATGTGACACTTTCGAATAAATAATATTTCTCATCATATTCAAGTTGGTTCTATAATACACAGTATAGGAAGAAACTCACCGGTCAGGCTACTGACTCTATGCTCTAAATCTGGCAGGAACACTTTACCTTACAGGTGATAACCCCACCAAAAGTGGCTCCAGGTAGAGATGTTAGAGATACTATTGGAAAGCTGATGTCAAGTAGAATCAGGCTGCTGAGTATGAGATACTGTACGATCTTGGTAACAAAATTCGGTAACCCCCCTCTTTTTTACACCAAAAGTGGCTGACTTCATGCAACCACAGCTCATCCACAAGCAATAAAGAACTGATGAAATTAATACCATAATGTAGGATATTACCTAGGCTTTGTAAGAAAACTTTATCAGAATTTTGACTTTGCACAATAATGGCTAAGAGCTTAGTATCCAGATTAAACATGGTTGCAATATACCTTTTATATGAGAACCTCATATAAAATAGGAAGTACCTGTAGACCACTCTCATGCTTTAGAGAATTGTGCCCTGAGCAATTATTAACACAGCTTGATACTCAAGGGCAGTAATATCTAGATGTTGATAAGAATGCTAGTGAATATTCTGATTTTTTGCAGAGAGACAAAGCTGTGACTTGGTAAAGCAAAAACACCTATTTTTGGTGTAAAATGGGGAGGGGGGTCAACAAATTTTGTCGTCAAGCTCGTAGTGGAAGGATGCCTTAGTAATCGGGTGTTAAATCAGTACTCCACCTGAACTCCACTAAGAAAACTTCTAGAATACAGTGTAACACTAACTGTAATAATGCTGGGTAGATGTCCAGGGTACTATTGGAAAGCTTGAGTCCAGTAGAATCTGGCAGCCAAGTATCAGATGCTGTACTCAAAGGGTACCCAACAAATCTGGTAGCAAGCTCAGGATCCAGCTAGTACCATGACTCTACCATGGACACTGCTAGAACAGAGTATAACTTGATCAATAATGGTGGTAAGTAGATGTCCTGGATACTGTTAGAAAGCTAGTGTCGGATAGAATCAAGTGGACAAGTATCAGAGGCGACACCTAAAGGATGCCTGAGGCACCTGGTGTCAAACTCAGCACTCTGCCAGAACTCCCAGAACTCTGCTGTAACTGGAGCTGGTACTCGGTTATTAGGTTGTTTTATGTTTTGTTTTAAGTATTTGTTGATACTTAATTTGTTTTATGTTTTGTTTTAAGTATCGGTTGATACTTAGTTTGTTTTATGTTTTGTTTTAAGTATCGGTTGATACTTGGTTAGTTTTACGGATTGATTGAGTAAGAACATGAGTGAGAATTTATTATTGTACTCAAACATATGTACTTAAAAAGACTGCCACTTTCTGCTAAGGAAAAGGGCAGACTTTGACAGTTAGTATTCTAATGTACTCGGTTGAAGGATTATCTTTATTTTCCGATTACACCACCGAAGCCTCCCTTAGCGAGCTTAGAAACCGTCAATCTCTGGTAGATTGTCGGCTTACTCCTATTGTACCAAGCGACGTGACTAGCGCCCCGGCGTGAACATGTTACATATGTTTAACCTCAACGAGTGGTTGAATACGATGAATCAAGGCCTGATCAACCTATGAGGATTCAGCAAGACGAACGGTACCAGCAGAAACGGCAGGCCAGACAGTCGGCTCCTGCATTGTCAGTAGTGCGGTGTAGATCCACTTACGACTCGGAGTGGATGCAAGATCCTACGAGAAGGCCTAATCCAAAGGAGAGGAGCAAAGCCACCCACAGAAGCTACACCTGGCGCATTCCCAGGTTCACCAGCGAAAGAACGCAAACCACCAGCACCATCACCACCTCCACACCCACCTGACGGCTCCTCAGAAGAAGAAGAAGACGTGTCCGGTCACAGAACCCCAGCCCCCCCACCCGACCCTCCAGCGGACCCACCCCTACAAAAACCAAAACTAAAAATCCTGCAGCCTCCTACATTGTTAGGTAGTGGAGAGGACCTGAGACTGCAAGCGTTCGAACGATGGCACACGAGCATAAGGCAATAGGTATCAGTATACGGAATAGATATGAAAGACTATGAATTAGGAATCTATCTCGGAAGCTTCTGCACAGAAGATGCGACAGAAGCATAGTATCAGTGCATTAAGGAATACCGAGAACGAGACAAAGTAAGGGCATTAACGATAGCCAAGTTCCTACGAGATTGATTCCAATCATTGCGTAATGCAGACGAATTATTCGAAAGATTCAACAATATCCAACAGACCCATGGAGGGAAAACGGATAAGATAACAAAAATGGCAACATCACTTGTTATGTATCACAGTCGATTACCCACAGGCACCATTTTGGCATATTCCCTCACAAAACCATTCTATGAAAGCATGCATACCAAACTACGGCAGGTGGTTGAACTACAAGAAGCAGCGTCCGATAATATACACGCAATTATCAAAAGAACAGAAAGGCATGATGCTATCCTGTGGGATACGAATGCCTACAGGACACCAGATATAAGGAAAGACAAGGGGCAGAGGTACAGCACTACCAAGAATTCGAAAAAGACTGGAACACCGAAATCAAAAGACACCCAGCAGCAGGAACAGTGAAAGGACAACAATGAATGCTTGGAATGCGGAAAAACGGGTCACTATGCTAAGGACTGTTATATGCGGAAATCCAAAGGCAAGCACTGTTAAGAATCCTACCGAGTAGGATCTGGCGACAGGTAACGATACTCCTCTGCAAGGTGATAGTTCTCAGGCCTCTGCCTACACAATCCTGATACTCCAGTCCTGTGACTACTATCTTATTCGCGCCTATCTTCTTATCCTTCTTCTTAGTCCTCACTCAGGA